GGAGTGGTAACTTAGCTAGCTACCTTTTTTTTTATTAGGTGCGGCGGGTGACGTGAGGCGGGTCGCGCGCAGTTTGTAGTTACTTATGGTTCCCAACCACCATCAACCCGTACTTTTTAGCGGGCTCAGAATTACGACATGGAGCAATATTCCTTAACATTATATTCCATATTCTTTGCCGAAATTTACAGTCATATCATCCAAAAGGGCCAGGTGAACATTTCTCTCTACTGAAAATAGGAACCTAAGCCAAAACTCGACATACTCCAATTGACTCAACCGGCGTACTGCTATTTCATTATATATACATCCCTATCCACGAAAAAATTCAAGTGCTACCATCGTTATCTCATGAACAGCGATGCCTAGTTGGGACGGGCAGCAGGCCCAGGGTTGACACGGCGGCCCCTGGTTGATGCATCAGTGACTGCTGGTACTATCACAATCAACACCGGGAGACTTACATGAAGGTTCGGCTGAAGAAGCTGATGAAGAGCATGAAGAGCCAGCTCGGGATAGAACCGAAACCCCACATGACATAGCCGAGAGGAAGGAGAAGCCCGTTCTTAGCGAAGAAACCGTCGGTAGGGTGCAGGAGACCCACGTAGGCCGGGGTCTGCTCGAAATGCTTCTCGGAATGGAGCTTGTAGATCGTCTCGGGGGTAACGGTGGTCGTGTTCAGGTGCGCGGTGTGAAGAGTAGTGGGAGCGCGTCCCTCACCCAGCTGGGCCTGGGGGACCTCGAAGTGCCAGACCGAGGGAGCGCTTGCGGACCAAGCAGCGCAGAGAACCTGGTTTGCCTCACAGTCCAACCGAGCAAGGTGAGGGGAGGTGGGATCGGCGGAGAACAGAAGAACGGATTCCTAATTAATGAACACGACATGTTTAGCGGCCATGAGCACGAGCCTCCGGGGGGCCCAATGTCCCCTCCCCCTTTAGTGTTCGAGGCGGTCTTACGTTGAATGACTTATCCGCTTGATCACAGCGCCCGAAGCAGGTCTTGTTACCACCGGTGACGAAGACGAACCAGTCCTGAGGATCAGAGGCTGGCTCCAGAATCGACTCCCAGTTGGTCAGGTTCAACTGCGTGACGGGCTTCGCCTGGATCTTCTTCTGCTCGACCACCTTCTGGACTTCCTCAACAGTGGCAGGCACAACCGGGGTGGCAGTTGGCAGATAAGCCTTGGCCTTGTCGAGCCAACCCTGGAAACGGTCCGCAAGGGGAACTTGTTCTTGTGCCAAAGCGAGCGCGGGGGCAAGGGCGAGGACCTGGATGAGACGCATGATGATGCTATAGAAGGCGACGCGTGGTCAGTAAATTATCAGGGGAGGTGTATGGCGAGGAAGCTTGCTGCCTGCGACTGCCGTGGACGAGGGAGAGAGAATGAACATACATGGTCTGAATTATCTAATGCAATGAACGCACCCTGAAAAGAAACTGGATGGGGGTTGAAAGACCAGATGGCGGACAGCAGGCAGCGGAGGGAAACAGGCAACCTGTGTTGACAACAACAACTTGACGAGGTGAGGTGAAACAGCCACGATGGACAGACTGGAGACTGACAGTACGTACTGTACTGTACCCAGTGAAGTCTCCGCGACAGGTGGCCTAACTCTAATTGGAGCTCCCGCGGCGGGAAGCGGGGATTTCGCTTCCTTGTCTTTCTGGAATCTCTTTTGCTTCTTCCCCTAATTAACTAATGTATTTGATGATTGATCTCGATTGTCAACGGCTGGTTGCGAATCTCTGGTTGTCTATCTAATGAGAGACAAATGTGGCTTTGTTTAATACCAAACAACCAGCGGATGAGGGTACCTACAGCAACCCAACAATGACATATTGTATTTCAACAGAACAAAGAGATACAACCTATGACATTCAACTGTGCTGTTTCTCCCTAGGGCAATACGTACCACCTTTTAGGAGTAGTGCTCACACTATCCTGGGATGTACTGATGAGCTCAACTTGACATCCTCGAATAAGATAAGAAGCATAGAATGAGCTGGAATTGACCATCTCATCTGATGTGCTACAAGTAGTAGTTCTCGTGAATGGAGAGAGCCTTCGCTCTTGCCAGGACCATGCCTCGCCCGTTGCGCCTTCCGCGCTGATCGAAATGCGAGCAGCACCAAGGATTCAATATTTGACTCTGTAACCTATCTCCTCAATCATCGCCAGTCATACTATACTACTAGGTATTCATTGATCTATCATCCGAGTATAGATATACTATCAAGTCCATACCGCACTGCTGTCAATCTTTCCGTGAACGCTTGTCAACCATGGCAGAAATTAGAAAGTGCCGTGCATGTTTTTTTCACAGAATTATTCTGGCATTTGCAGTGCTGGTCATGTTCTGTCAAGGCAACGGAGCTGTGGCAGGTGGTGATACTGAACTCGGTACGCAGGAGGTTCCATCAGAGTGGACATGTTAGCACCCAGAGGAATCTATCTAACCATTGTAGCAGTGACAACACTAGTCACCGAGTTTGCTTGCAGCCAAGCAACCCCCACGGCCGTCCAGAAACGATCCACTGCGGCTTCTCCCAATGACTTCCCTATTTGTACCGACCTGAATGGCCCATTTCGACCTTTCTGTCTTCCCAAGGATGGTACCGAAGTGACAGTTGATGCGACGTACTATGTGACTTGGAATGCCGACTTTTATCCTTTGAATGCCATTATCACCATCGAGCTGAGATATCTGAACTCCTCCGAGGGCGACTCGGCATACACATCCGAGAGGATTGACAACAGCTACGGCTATACCCATATCCACATGCGCGAAGATTGGCTTCAAGGGAAACAGCGGAATGCTTTGACACTCTATATCATTGAGCTAGATGCTGTGTCAGACAAGCGAGCCAGTGTTCGACAAGGACCGACCGTTTTCCTCCACATCCGACCCACGGAGCACCGCAAACCATCGCCCCAGCTGTCATTCAACAGACTCGCATTGTACATCGGTCTCCCCGTCAGCCTTGGGGTTGTAGTACTTGTGGTTGCCGGTCTGTATTTCGGGATGCGTGAGAGTAGACGGATAGACCTTGGGAATATCATCGGGTCTCGTGACAAAGGCTATGGGATCGCAAAGTCCAGGGAACAGCGCCTGGGTTCTAAGGCAGGCAATCGCGAAGAGTCGGAAGCGTCCTCGGGATTTGGACGATACACAGATGACATTGACACTAGCATGTCGCAAATACTCCAGCCTGAGCATCACGGTGATCTAGAACAGAGTGCGAGTTTCGCATTCAGGCGGGACTCGTCTAAGCTCAGGAGCTGGAGGGTCTGAGCCTTCCCTGTCCGAGGCGTACAACCTTATGGATCATTTGACAGCGAGCTGTGGGTCAATGTATGCAGGAAAGATCCCGTATCGCTGCGAGATCGACCTTATGATCTCAATCCGAGTCTATCTTGAAGAGATGGACCTCGATAGCTTTGTGTCTGATGTTCGGTGCTAAGTCTAAAGGAGGTTGGATTGGTAGGATAAGACAATTGGGGATTATATATAGTTATCAATGCTTCGGCGTCTCTGTTTTCCACGCTTCATGCGGAAAGGGTGCGTACAATTGATAGTATACATCCAAGATAGCTAGCTGTTTACTCTATGCATCTATACGTAGCTGCGTAGTAGATACTCTGATCATTAGTAAAACTACAAGGTATGTACTGTACCTTGAAGTTGAGATATGACTCAAACGGAAGTTGCACTCCACAATCACAGGCTTTACTCCTTCCAGTCTAGCTCAAGCCACAGGACCTTCCAAGGCTTCCAACCTGAGGCCGCACAGGCCACCGGTACTGGAGAATGACTCGAGGATCCGCGGCCGCAAACCCCAACTGAAGGGGGGGCGGGAGACGGTTACCACGTAAGCACGCTGACCAACAGGAGGCCAGGAAATGAAAATCAGGAGCGATGCCGGAGGGACCGGCCTGGCAAGAATGAGTCAAGCGGAATGGCCATATGGCCATGTAGTTACTGTTGTCTACCGTTCCTAAAGGGCACATAACGTATGTCACTCAACGAAAGGAAGTGTCGGTTACCATGGCAAGGTATCAGTCTAGTCAAGTAATCATTCTGAGCACAGCCAATAGCATTGTGAATAGAAGTAATAGTTGAGAATTGATTATCAATCTTGCGTCGGTCGAGCCTGGCTGCCCGCCGCGGCCGACGCTAGTTATCAAGATGCGGCGCTATCTGGAGGTTAACCACCTGCCGATGTCGGTTGCAGCCCTCCCCAATTGTGCAACCCAGATCCGGCCCTGACTGGCTCCGACTAATTAAGGGAAAACCCTAGAGGCAAACCCTGACTACATGCAATGATAGGACGCATAAACGAAGATTTGCCTCAGCTAGGTTTTCCATACGAAAAGCTAGTATTGACAGCACAATCTCAGGTACTTACTGAGTAGAACTGGCTCTCTCCCCAGCGTGGCAAACAGCCGTGTAAACCTAAGTGACCTACACATACGTAAAGAGGTCCGCCTGGACAAGGAACCGGCCTTAATAACGATGATGACTACTGCATTTAGGCTAGACCCCATCGGAAACTGGAGACGATCCTCACGCTGAGCAATTGGGGTGGTCGGAGGCGCTGTGAACGGCCAGCCGGGGTCAGGGTTCTCCACAACCAGCCAGGAAGGAGATGGCAAAGAAATGGTCACCAAAGGTCTGAGGCGTACTTAGGTAGTTCCTAGTGCGAGTAAATTTTTCATCATTGCCGCAGCAGCAGGGGGGGTTCCGCCCGAGAAGAAAGAGTCATACTTTGCCTGCGACCAGACCGCCCGCTTTTTTAAACCGACTTGTAGCCTATGACTCTTTTCTTTGATTCTCTTCTCCTACTAGACCTCTTTGCCATTTAAACCCATCCCACCTTGACCTGAACCTTTACTGTTAGTATATTCCCATTGATCTCAATTCTTTTAAGCATTTGTCGTCGTCTGACCTTGCTTCTACCACTCGCAGCTTCTCGCTATCATATACTACAACCTACCCACTAAACCTACCCCGCCGTATCCTTTTTCACAATGTGCCCTGGTGCAGACCACGAGCCCAATGGGCAGGCCAACGGCGCTGCCCCCAATGCCAATGGTACGTTTGAATCGCATCATCTGTCTCCCTTCTCGTCTGTGGAATTCTGAAGTAACATATCATCATAAAGGTGACCACCCCGGTTTCACCGGCATTGAGACTCGCCAGAACCCCCACCCCTCCGCTTCCCGCAACCCCTACGGCCACAACGTCGGTGTTACCGACTTCCTGAGCAATGTCTCCCGCTTCAAGATCATTGAGAGTACTCTTCGTGAGGGAGAGCAATTCGCCAACGCTTTCTTCGACACCGAGAAGAAGATCGAAATCGCCAAGGCCTTGGACGACTTTGGTGTTGACTACGTGAGTCATCCTGGGTGGTGGACAGGGTCGAGCCGTCGTGGAGCTTGTGCACTGACCACTTCTCATAGATCGAGCTCACCAGCCCCTGCGCTTCCGAGCAGTCGAGAAAGGACTGTGAGGCCATCTGCAAGCTTGGCCTGAAGGCTAAGGTATGTTAGCCACGCCGTCCGCAGATTCAGGAATTCTCGTCCAGAGCTAATGAACCTTAAGATTCTCACTCACATCCGTTGCCACATGGACGATGCTAGAGTCGCCGTCGAGACCGGTGTTGATGGAGTGTAAGTTATTTCTAAGGCTTCTGCTTGCGCGACTATCTCCTAACGAGTCGATAGCGATGTCGTCATCGGAACCTCCTCCTACCTCCGTGAGCACTCTCACGGCAAGGACATGACCTACATCAAGAACACCGCCATCGAAGTTATCGAGTTTGTTAAGTCTAAGGGTATTGAGATCCGTTTCTCCAGTGAGGACTCCTTCCGTTCCGACCTGGTCGATCTCCTGTCCATCTACTCCGCCGTCGACAAGGTTGGTGTCCACCGTGTCGGTATCGCCGATACCGTCGGTTGCGCCTCCCCTCGCCAGGTTTACGAGCTCGTCCGTGTGTTGAGAGGTGTCGTGGGTTGCGATATTGAGACTCACTTCCACAACGACACCGGCTGCGCCATTGCCAACGCCTACTGTGCCCTGGAGGCTGGTGCTACTCACATTGATACCTCCGTTCTCGGTATCGGTGAGCGCAATGGTATCACCCCTCTTGGTGGTCTCATGGCCCGCATGATGGTTGCCGACCCCGAGTACGTCAAGAGCAAGTACAAGCTTGAGAAGCTGAAGGAAGTCGAGGACCTCGTCGCCGAGGCCGTCGAGGTCAACATTCCCTTCAACAACTACATTACTGGATTCTGCGCCTTCACCCACAAGGCCGGCATCCACGCTAAGGCCATCCTGAACAACCCTAGCACCTACGAGATTATCAACCCCGCCGATTTCGGCATGAGCAGATATGTCCACTTTGCCTCCCGTCTGACCGGCTGGAACGCCATCAAGTCGCGTGCCCAGCAACTCAACATCACGATGACGGATGCTCAGTACAAGGAGTGCACTGCCAAGATCAAGGCTCTTGCTGATATTCGTCCCATTGCTGTCGACGATGCTGACAGCATCATCCGCGCCTATTACCGCAACATCAAGTCGGGCGAGAACAAGCCCCTCCTTGACCTTACGGCCGACGAGCAGGCTCAATTCGCTGCCAAGGAGAAGGAGATTGCTGAGCAAATCACTGCTTAAGCCCCGTGGCTTGACTGCCTGTCGTCCAAGTTGCAAGCGCCGCCATTGAATCACATCAATGGGATTAGAGGGTCGCGTTTTTAGAGATTTTCCTTTTCTGTTCCTGTTCATGCTTGCAGCGGGTGGGCCTCTTTCCTGCGGGAAGATGTTTCCATTTTACTTTCATCCTCATGATTTCTACGTTTATGTGTCAAGGATCTTGATCTGGTTGTTATTTCTATGGGGGTTTTCAAAAAGTCTTCTTTGTCCCTGACTCAAAAAAGAAGAAGATTCGGTGTTGGGGAAAAGATTTTGGGTCCTTTTTGGTTTTTGGACCGTGTACATACGCAGATATCGATGTTCAAACTGCATTCCACACAAGAGACTGAATGCTTGAGATAGACTATTCGGTAGTATTCGATGTTCATTCCTTGCTCTGAATCGAGTCGAGTCAAGTAAATTGTAAACGAGGAAAAAAGCGGTGGTTTCCGTATGCGGAGTCTGGCATTGGCATGTGGCATGTGGATAACGTTGAAGCCGAGGCAGCCTTCCGAGGGGCGGTCTTATCGCCGCCGGCTTCCATTTCCTGGACCATCCGACCGAACTACACTGCAGTAACCGCCCGCGGCCCTTTCCTCTCTTTCCCCAGTCACCTTCGTCATCCTCTCGGAGGTCGTTCTCAATCGACTCGCCTCCCTCCCCCCATCTTCTTATTGACTGACCATTTATTCATAATGGCACCATCCGTTCTTCCTGTTGCCTTGCAGAACAAACTGCTTGGCTACAGCAGGGCTCCCAACTCGCAACTCGCAGCTCTGCAACTGGATGTGTAAGTTCATGAGATCATCTGCACCGCATTGCCTTTCCCCGCGTGGCAGCGCGGACAGTCCCTAGCCCATGGGGCGACTATCAAGCTCGTCCTTGGTTCCGGTCTCACTAACAAACATCTCAATCATTCGTGTCTCACTCAGTATTCGGAATATCGTTTTCATTCTATTCGTTCTCCGCTACGTTCGCAAGGCGTATCATTCACTCCGCGGCTACGGCCTCTTCGGCAGCATCCGCAATGTCTACTCCGCCGTCCGTCTCTTCTGCTACTCCGTGTTCTTGCGATTCCCCGGCGTTAAAGGCCAGGTTGACAAGCAAGTGTCCACAGCGATCGAGGGCTTAGAGTCGAAACTCGTCGCCAGCGGTCCTGGTGTTACCAGGTATCTGACTCTACCCAAGGAAGGATGGTCGGCCGAGCAGATTCGCGCCGAATTGAATAACTTGGCGAATATGGAACATACACGCTGGGAGGATGGTCGCGTCAGCGGTGCTGTGTATCATGGAGGGCAGGATCTCCTCAAGCTACAAGCGGAAGCCTTCGGCCAGTTCGGTGTCGCGAATCCCATTCACCCAGATGTGTTCCCTGGTGTTCGGAAGATGGAAGCTGAAGTTGTCGCTATGGTACGTACCTCTCTCCTATGACTCGTGTGGGATTGTCAGCTCACGTATGTCATCCAGGTCCTCGAGCTGTTCAATGCCCCCTCCGATGGCGCGGGTGTCACGACCAGCGGCGGAACAGAATCCATCATCATGGCTTGCCTTGCTGCACGGCAGAAAGCATATACCGAACGGGGTGTCACCGAGCCTGAGATGTGAGTAGAAGCGCCTCGCAAATCATGTGTGCCCGTCGACGTGCTGATACCCTCTGAAGGATCATTCCCGACACCGCCCACGCTGCCTTTATCAAGGCTTGCAACTACTTCAAGATTAAGCTCCACCGCGTTGCTTGCCCGGCCCCGGACTATAAGGTCCATATTCCATCAGTCCGGCGGTTGATCAACTCCAACACTGTTCTTATTGTCGGATCTGCGCCGAATTTTCCTCATGGTATCGTTGATGACATTCCCGCTCTGTCTCGACTGGCGACCTCATATAAGATTCCCCTACATGTCGACTGTTGTCTGGGCTCCTTTGTCATCGCGTTTCTCAAGAAAGCGGGCTTTGCCTCTCCGTATGAGGAAGAGGGCGGCTTTGATTTCCGTCTACCCGGTGTGACCAGCATTAGCGTGGACACTCACAAGTATGGCTTCGCGCCCAAGGGCAACTCTGTGCTTCTGTACCGCAACAAGGTATACCGCAGCTATCAGTACTTCATTTACCCCGACTGGTCTGGAGGTGTTTATGCGTCTCCATCCGTCGCCGGCTCGCGTCCCGGTGCGCTGATCGCAGGCTGCTGGGCTAGTCTGATGAATGTGGGTGAATCTGGTTACATCAAGAGCTGCCACGAAATTGTTAGCGCAGCGAAGAAATTCGAGTCGTCAATCAAGGAGCACTCAATCTTGTCGAAGAACCTGGAGATCGTCGGAAAGCCCATGGTCAGCGTCGTTGCCTTCGAAAGCAAGAACGACGCCGTTGATATTTACGATATTGCTGATGATTTATCCGCAAAGGGCTGGCACCTGAACGCTCTTCAAACACCTCCTGCTATCCACGTGGCTTTCACTGTTCCCACAGCTTCGGCAGTGGATGCGCTTACCAATGATTTGGTCGAGGTTGTTGAGAAGGAGCTGGAGAAGGCCGAGGAGAGGAAGCGGCAGGGCAAGTCGTATATTGTCAAACGTGGAGACACCGCAGCTCTCTATGGTGTGGCTGGTAGCATGCCGGACAAAAGCATCGTCAGCCGCCTGGCAGAGGGATTCCTCGACACTCTGTATAAAGCATAGACAGGTCTGTGACCTAAGAAAATTGGCATTGTCTATATAGTCTTGGAAACGCGAGAGGCAGCTCGCGCACGAACTCTTCGAATGGGGTCGTCTCCTTGTGCAATTAGTTGATTTGCGGTTTGTCGGTGTCATGAGCGGCTTTTGCATGATTTCTATTCTTCCAACAATCGAGTATTATTGTTACCATGAGAAATCCACGCAGTATTGGTATCAGGCATGTTTGATTCACATGAACAGAGCCATTCTGTAGAACATGGCAGCAAAAGAGATACTATAGTACAAATGACCGCGCCGATGAAGGATGCAGAAAATCGACCTGCTAGAGCCACACATACACATTTTGGCCGGTGGAGTAGCCAAACCCGAAAATGAACCGCTTCATGCAAGAAGGACCCAGCAAGGTCCGGACTCGAGAGTACTCATTCGAGCCCTCCTCGAAGAAATCTCCAATCCGACGCATAACAAGCCCGACCAGAGGTGCAAGGCGTCACCGTTGCAAGCCATTGCTGGGATATGCAATTGTTATATCCGATTCCTTGCCCATTTCGATCCCCAAAATCATATAACCAGAAAGTTCGATCAACCGCCTTCTTCCCTTCCCCAGACGAACAGCCCTTGAAACGGAGAAAGGATTTGTGGTGGTCAAGCGTAGATTGGACACGACATAAGAATTATAAGAAAAAAAAAGCCGCGAAAACGAGAAGCAAGCAGCAGAAAACGGGGCTAGACAAAACTAAAGAAAGAAAAAAGTTGAAGTTTCAGAAAAGAAAGAGGACAGCTTTTTCAAGCCGTTCTGTTCTCCTTGTATTCCGCCCCGGAGTACTTCTCGACGTAGTAGCCCGGGTCGGGCTTGCGCTCCAGGCGCACCTCCTGCTTTGTTAACCGCTTGTCCACCTCGCGGACCTCGACTAGCTCCTTGACCTTCATGATCTGGCCGGCGACGGAGGGCGAGACGGCGTGGAAGACGGTGGCCATGCGCTTCTTGAGGCCGAGGGCCTTGAGGACGTCGGTGGTGCGGCGCGGGAGACCGATGGCGGAGCGGACCAGGGTGATGCGGAAGTAGCTCATTGTGAGTTTGTGGATTTGTTGTGGTGGAGGGGGTTTCTTGTAATGTGTTGGACAGCTCGAGAGGGTTGATTTATACGAGCGTAGATGGTTCTCGGGGGTTGCGGAGTTTTGTTCGATTGGTTATCGAATTTTTGGAGGGGAGGGTGGATGGAAGGTGGAGGAGGGTTTTGAGTGACGCGACTGCACGATTAGATGCGGTAGGCGAATGTTTCGGAGTTTGAAGTTGGATTTTGTGTGTTTCTGTTCCAATTGCTCGATCGTAGCAAGTTATCGCGTGTCTGGAAAGAATACTGTTGCTGCTACTGCTGCTGCTGCGCTGCGCTCCAGCGCGATCGCTCCGGCCGCAAAATTCCCGATCATCCGTCGGTCTGTCAGGCGGAAAGTCACGTGATGCGGGCTTTCTGCCGGGGGGTTCGAGTGGCTTGCGTCGGTCGGCGGGCGGGAAATACGGGGGAGGAGGAATAAGGTGAGACTACTGAGTTACTCCGTGCTATCGAACAGCTTTGCAAGAACAACGAGAGGGATTTTCCAGCTGTGTGGTAAGACTTGAGGATGAGCCATTGGTTAGTGTTACTCCTACAGTCTGTTTGAAAAGGGAGGGTTTTGATACTGATACTTGCATCATCCCATCTCATAGATTCCCTATAATTAAAGCGCTGCGCGTGTCACGAGGGGCTTCCTCGCTCATTCTATACAAGTCGCCTGTCGCTCTGACCTCACCTTGCGACCATACAGCCTTGCGGGTGCACTGAACTCCTACTCACGAGATACGACATATAAGACAGAGATACTTGATCTGAACCTTTATTCGACGTCGATATAATCTGCCTTCTCCTTCCAGCAAACCCCCCGTACCTCTCGGAGCTTGAGCCAGCTTCCCGATCGCGACCCTTTTGATGATACACCTTCACACGGGCGTCTAAATACACATCGCCTCCATTGAAAACGACAGAATCCCGACCGCAATGGCGCGAGGCGAAGACAACAGTGGCACGGTGGCCATGCCCCGACTGGAAGATATCCTCCGGTACCCGGAGGACCTGGACAAGATCGTCGCCCTGAAGGCCGAGTACTCGCGGAAGAAAGGCGCCGTCGACGCGCAGCTGCGCGAGGGGCTTCGGGACCAGCTGGAGTCCGTCCAGCGCAGCATCAACGCGCTCACCGAGGGCCAGCGGCAGGTGTCCAAGACCAAGGACGAGCTGCAGGGCATCGACAAGCTGTGCGCCGAGTCCCAGAACAGCGTGGAGGACTTCTCGCAGATCGACAAGCTGGCCAAGGTGCAGCGGAACTTCGAGGCGACGCTCACAATGAAGAAAGGGCTGGAGATGTTCAGCGAGAACCTGGCGGTGGTCGAGGATCTCCTGCGGGAGGACGACGATGACCTGGAGAACCAACCGAACCTGCTGAAGGCCCACATGCAGATCTCCCGGCTGCGCGACTTCCGGGACGAGGCGATGGATCAGATCCGCAAGACGCAGGACTCGAGCAGCGAGCAGACGCTGGGGGACTTTTTCCAGGGCCTGGATTCCGTCATCGACTGGTTCGATGATCATCTGGGCACGGCCTGCATGAACCTCATCCCGCTGGTGCAGTCGGACAACCCGGGCATGGTCGTTCGGCTGGCGGTAGTGGTGATGAACGAAGAGAAGAACGACG